AATGAATCTATACCATCATTTGTCACAATAATCAACCCAGTTGTACCAACATCAAGACGGCCAATGGTAAAAAGTCGTAGCTTTGGTACTCCAGGATTTTTTTTACTCTGAGGAATAAAGATCATAACCAATAAGTATGATCATAAGAAACATAAAGTGGCATACTGCGTACTATAATTCAAGGCCCATAAAAAGAAATTTAGTGACTGAGACAAGCCATTCATACCCAACTCTTCATAAAATCATCAAAAAGGGACATCACAGATTTTGTCTCTTTCTCTCCTGCAGAGCATATATAGCTGCAACAATTAAATTTAAATAACTCCATTACTTTACACAGAGCTAATATCGTGCTGCGAAGATAATGAGAGGGTGAGCTGGCAAACCCTTTTGGCTTGTTTAGAGCAAGATAAACCTTTGCCGGAAGTTTCTTAGGCAGCCGGCTTCCATTTACATATATAATATCTTTTCCAGGGTCAACTTTGGTCTGAAAAATAATCGAGAAAAGAAAAAAAAATACTTAGAAAACATATCATCTTTACAATCAAAATACAAAGGATGCAATTGAAATCTGCTGAATCTATTACAGTACAGCTTCCAAACATTCAGTACCATTACTCATGTATGCTTAAACCAACCTGGGGTGTGTTGCAGACAGAACCATTGACAGTCACTTTACCTTGAAAAATCAGTTCTTCGCAGCTTCTCCTAGATGCCACTGTCAATCAAAACAAGTAACAGAATAGAATAGTACACACACGCACGCGCGCACACACACACACACACACACAAACTGATTATTGCATCTTATACAAAAACTAACAAGATGCATGGGGCTCACACCAGTATGAAGTATGAAAGAGTTTATGCATATAAAATGAACATTAATAAAAGGGGAAGGCATTCTCTAATATAAGCTGACATCAATCTGATGTTATCTGATACAGATTCTCAGTTAAGTTAACATGACCTAATTATTTACCACACACAATCAATTCAGTCTCTTGAATACGTTTCACCAACTTATTTCATATAATTTATTCAAAGAATTTAAGTTTCAGATAACAAAGAAATATCCTTTTGTCTCATTCTCCAGAAGGAGCCATAATGGATAACAACGTACTGTAGGTTACAAATTTAATTTAGCTAATAAGTTGGGTTCACGAAAGGAAACCATCTTCGCACATGAAGAACTTCCAACTAATACTTATCTAAGATTAGGTTTCACATATTTCGAAGATCGCAAATTCTAGGGTAAGAGGAATCTACTTCAACCGATATGCCCTTAGGAGCCTAACTCTTAGGCAGGCCGGCCCGTCAGTCATACATTTTCAACAAAAAATGCATACTTATACTATGAAACGACATACTTATGTTTATAACGATTTTTAGAGTATGCCATTTCAGCTCAAAATTGTGTATAATTGTTGAAGAAGTATGGCTACCTAACTGCAGCCTTACTGTTATATGATCTTAATGCTTAAATCAAGGCAAATAGCATAAATAATGCAAGAATTTCGGTCTGAAATATGTTGCCTGATGACATTACACAAATCATTCATCAATTTCCTTTACAGGTAAGGTTAAATTATGCATGTACACTATTAGGATGAAATCAAAACAACCTATAAGCAGCGTAGACAACAGCAAAGTAAGTGTACAACCACCATAAAGCACACGTACAACACCCTGATGCAGCAAAATGACTTACCCCCTGCAGCAGCCAACACCTTGGCGAGTCGCTGTGGAGCCTCCCGGAATCTTTCGTTGTAAAATCTCCGAGCCGCCTTTGAGTACTTCGGCTCAGCCGTTGGAGCCGCCTTCGCTTTACGACCAGAACCTTCATCGTCCTTCTTCTTCGTCTTCTTTCTCTGCGTGCTTTGAAACGCCATCGCCTTGAGGAAACCATCGGGTGGCGATGTGGGGTTGGCACTTTCGTCTTTGACAAGACATGGGGTGTACTGCTGGTTTCCGGGTTTCAGTGCCGCGGGCTTATCGGACGACGGCTCCGGGTGGGGGCCGGGGGTTTTCTGCAGCTGGGGTTGGGGTTTCGGAGGGGCGAAGGTGATGTTGAATTTGGTGGTCGAGGAGAGAGTGGAGGTGATGGCTCTGCGGAGGTGGAGACGGGGGAGGACGGCAGAGGTTCTGGAGAGATGGAGGGCAGAGAAAGTGGTGGTCGCCGCCACTATCGCCGTCATTTCGCGGTGGCGTTTTGGGGTGTGAAATGATAAGCTGAGAGCAGGCTCAGTTGAACTAATTTTATTTATTTATTTTTATTCCCAAACGATATGAAGGCCCAATTTTATGCTCAAGTGAGACATGTTTTGTGGGTGGTTTATTTATTTAA